ATACCCTCAATGTCCATCCATGTTGTCACAAATGGCTGGATTTCATCGTTTTTTATGGCTGAGTAGTATTCCATTGTGTTGATGAAATGGAAAAATTCCTGGAAACAGAAAAGCTACCAAGACTGACTCATAAAGAAATAGAAAATCAAAGTAGACCTTTAATTAATAAGGAGATTTAATACGTAATCAAAAAGTCCGGGGAAAGCAATGCCCTGGATCTGATGGCTTCTTGCTTGAATTCTATCAAACATTTAAAAAAGAACTAACACCAATCCTACTCAAACTTTTCCACAAAATTGACAGAAAAGTAACACTTCCTAACTCATTTTATGAGGCCAGGATTACCCTGATATCAAAGCCAGACAAAGACACTAGAAGAAAAGAAAACTACAGACCAATATCCCTTATGAACATGGATGCAAAAGTCCTCAAGAAAATACTAGGAAACTAAATTGAGCAGCATATTAAAAGGATTATAAAGTGGGAAAGGATTATGACCAGGTGGGGTTGGTTAATGGAATTCAAGAATCATTCCACATGTGAAAACTGATCAATGTTATAGATCATATTAACAGAATGAAGGAAAAAACTACGTGATCATCTCAATTGATGCAGAAAAAGCATTTCACAAAATTCAATGCTCTTTTATGTTGCAAACACTGAACAAACTAGGAATAGAAGGAAACCACCTCAACATAACAAAAGCCATATATGAACCTGCCCCCCGGAAGCATGATACTCAATGGTGAGAAATTGAAAGTTTTTCCTTTAACATCAGGAATATTGAAAGGATGCCCACTTTTGCTACTTCCACTCATCATAGTATTGGAAGTTCTAGCCAGAGTAAGTAGGAAAGAAAAAGAAATAAAAGGCATCCAAATTGGAAGGAAGTAACATTATCTCTATTTGCTGATGATATGATCTTGTCTGTAGGAAAACCTAAAGATGCCACAAGAAACCATATTAGAATTTATAAATAAATTCATCAGAAGTGTCAGGATTCAAAATCAATGCACAAATCAGCTGTATTTCTATACATTAACAATGAATAATCTGAAAATGAAATTAAGAAAATAATTTGATTTACAATAGCATCAAAAAGAATAAAATACTTAGGAATTAACTTATCCAAGGAGGGAAAGAGTTATACCATGAAAACTACAAAACATTGCTGAATGAAATTAAAGAAGACACAAGTAAAAGTAAAAATGGAAAGACATCTTAGGCTCATGGATTGGAAGACTTAATATGGTAAAGCATCAAGACTACTCAGAATGATTTACGGATTTAATGCAATCCCTATCAAAATCTGAACGACTTTTTTGCAGAGATAGAAAAAATCAATCCCAAAATTCGTATGGAATCTCAAGTGACCCCAAATAGCCAAAACAATCTTGAAAAAGAAGAATAAAACTCATATTTCCTGATTTCAAACTTATTATAAAGCTACAGTAATCAACACACAGTGGTTCCAGCATAAAGAGACAGACCAACAGAAGAGAATAGAAGGCCCAGAGACAAACCCTCATTTATAGTCAAATGATTTTGACATGTGTGCCAAGACCATGCAAATGGAAAGGGACAGTGTTTTCAACAAATGGTGGTGGGAAATCTGGATATTTTAATGCAAAAGAATGAATTTAGGCCATCATCTAGCACCACAGGCAAAAATTACTTCAAAATGGATCAAAGACCTAAATGTAAGTGCTAAAACCAGAAAATTCTTAAAAGAAAACATGGGAGAAATGGTTCTCAACATTGGATTTGGTAGTGATTTCTCGGATATGACACCAAAGGCACAGGCAGCAAAAGAAAAAGTAGACAGACTGGACTTCATGAAAATTAAAAAATGTTGTGTATCAAAAGATACTACCGGGCTGGCCCCATGGCTTAGCGGTTAAGTGAGTGTGCTCCGCTGCTGGCGGCCCGGGTTTGGATCCCGGGCGCACATCGACGCACTGCTTCTCCAGCCATGCTGAGGCCGTGTCCCACATACAGCAACTAGAAGGAAGTGCAGCTATGACATACAACTATCTACTGGGGCTTTGGGGAAAAAAATAAATAAAATTAAAAAAAAAAAGATACTACCAATAGAGTAAAAAGGCAACCAATGGAATGGGAGAAAAGATGTATATATCATGTGCAGTCACGCTTTGCTTAACGACAGGGACGTGTTCTGAGAAATGTGTCATTACGCAATTTTGTCATCGTGCGAACATCATACAGTGCACTTACACAAACCTAGATGGCATAGTCTACTACACACCTAGGCTATATTGTACTAATCTTATGGGACCACCATCGTACATGCGGTCCGTCGTTACCAAAACATTGTTATGGGGCACATGACTGTATCTAATGAGGGATTAATATCTAGAAAATATAGAGAACTCCTAAAACTCAAAACAACAATAACAAAAACCCCACATAATCTGATTTTAAAATGGGCAAAGTACTTGAATAGACATTTCTACAAAGATATATAAATGGATAACAAGCAAATGAAAAGATGCTCAACATTACTCATCACTTAGGGAAATGCAAATCAAAACCACAATGAGAGACCACCTCACACCCATTAGAATGTCTAGTATCATCAAAACTGGAAATAGCAACTGTTGGCGAGGATGTGGAGAATTGGAACCCTGTGCACTGCTGGTAGGAAAGTATAATGGTGCAGCTGCTGTGGAAAACAGTCTGGTGCTTATGTATCCACAAATTGAAAGCAGAGTCTCAAAGAGATATTCGTACCTCATGTTCACAGCAGCAGTGTTCACAATAGCTGGAAGGTAGAAGCAACCCAAGTGTCCATAGACAGATAAAGGGATAAACAAAATGTGGTCTATACATTCAATGGAGTATTATTCAGCCTAAAAAAGGAAGGAAATTCTGACTCATGCTATAACATGATGAACTTTGGGGGCATCAAGCTAACTGAAATAAGTTGGTCACAAAAGACAAATACTGTATGATTCCACTTATGTGAGGTGCCAGGGGCTATGGGGAGGGGTCATGGGGAGCTATTGTCTAATGGGGACAGAGATTCAGTTTTGCAAGATGAAAAGAGTTCTGGAGATGGATGGTGTGATGGTTGCACAACAAGATGAGAACTTAATAGCATTGAACTGTAGCCTCCAAAACGATTGAGATGGTACATTTTATTTGTATGTATTTTACCACACACACACACACACACATGCACACAGAAAATGTAGCTACTCAAACAAATATGACCATTTTACTGTAGGAGCCAAAAACCAGGGGAGTGGTCTGTGCAGTAAAAAGTTTACTCAGTTGGTCTGGTGTTTTCCATCCCTGCACATTCCCAAAAAAATGACTGGCTTCTGACAAACTCCTGGGGAACATCCCCTATGCCCATGGAATGACCTGCCTGACAAGAGTGTCTCTGTACCTGGGGCCTGGGGTCACACCAGAGAGTTTACGCCAACAATGTGATTTATGGCAGGGACTTTGGGCCACACTGTTTGATACTGAGAGCGGCAGGAGACTGAGTAACTAAGGTCAACCATGTGGCTCTCCGAGTCTAAGTGACTGACCCCCAAGAAAATCCCTGGACACTCAGACTCAGGTGAGCTTCCCTGGTGAGCAATACCCTCTGCTGTGTCACACATCATTGCTGGGAGAACTGAGCACTGTCTGCATGAATCCTCTGGAGAGACAGCTGGAAGCTTGTGCCCGCTCTTCCTGAACTCCACCTATGTGCCTTTGACCACTGCTGATTCTATCTGGATCCTTTCTCTGGAAAGACCATAACCGTGAGTGTAACAGCTTTGCTGACTCCTGTGAGTCCTTGTAGTGAATCCCTGAACCTGAGGGTGCTCATCCAGCCAGGGATTGGACTGATTCCTATCAGAAGCCCATTCACATTCCTCCCACTCTCTGACACTCAGGAGTCAAGACTTCTACATGGACTTAGTCACCAACCAGGGCAGCCAGTGTTGGGTCTCCATGGGTGACTAGGGAGTAAGCAGTCACCTTCTGAACCTCAGTATACTCATGTCTCAAATGGGGTCAAATGCCAGGGGAGGATGGATCAGGTAGGGGTAGAGGTTGGCCCTGAGAAGGCAACTAATGCCTCATCACTGCCAGGGGCCGAACAGGGGGTTCAGGTAGGACGGAAACCAGGTTGGAGTAATCAGACTGGTTTATTGTACATCAGGGACCTCATTGAGGAGTGGGTTGGGGCTTGGTGCCCCGCTTTAGTGGGGCACGGCACAGAGCTTAGGAGGATGGGGTCACCAGGAAGCCAAAGACACCGTGGTCGCTGGGGCGGGGCTGCCCAGCGGGCACCGAGAAGCTGAAGCGCTGCAGGAGGCAGGTGAAGAAGAGGAAGAGCTCCATGCGGGCCAGGGGCTCCCCAAGGCATGAGCGGCGGCCTGTGGGTGGGTATGGGGGGGTCAGTGAGGCTGGGGGTGTGGGCTCAATGCCTCCAAGACTCCCTCAGGAGGGGAAAGTGTGCGAGGCTCCCCACAGGCACCTGCTGAGAAGGGGATGAAGGCCTCCTGCTTGACGAAGCGGCCCTGGGCGTCCAGGAAGTGCTCGGGGTGGAAGCGGAAGGGCTTCTTCCAGACGGTCTCGTCCTTCAGCACCGAGGACAGGTTGGTGATGATGAGCGTTGTGCCCTGATAGGTGATGCCTTGTATGGGTGTTTTCTCCGCTAGGAGAGGCCAGGGCCTTTGCCAGCAGACACCCATGGGCCGCACTCTCTGCAAGACACACACCAGGACTCTTTCAAGTCAGTCTCAGTCCAAGAAGCATCCGTGCACCCTCCCTGTCCCCAGGGCAAAGTAATGTGCGGCCCATGGGCACGCTCACTGCCACCTGTCCTTGCATGCGTAGCTCCTACAAAACACTGGGGCACATTTTAGTTTGTCTTCCCCACCCCCCAGAGGAGGCTCTGAATGGACTGGGCCAGCCCTGCCTCTGCTTCATCCCCACACCCGTCGAGGGAGGATAGTTGGTGCCTGTGGAAACGAGGATAAGGCAGCTTGGGTTCCAGTCCTGGCCCCACCTGGCAATGGCCATGCTGGGGCTACCAGGGGGCAGGGGGAGCTGAGCTGGGGTGAGCAGGGCCGCAGGCCTACCTTGGGGATGAGGAAGCCCTGCAAATCAGTGTCGCAGGGTGTCATGTGGGGCAAGCCCAGTGCGACAGTGTCCCCAAAGCGCTGCACCTCATGGACCACGGCCATGGTGAAGAGCATGTGGGCCTGGTCCCCCATCTCTGGTCGCCGCACCTGCCCTATCACCTCATTGATCTCCTGTTGGACAGGGCCTGGGCAGACAAGCATCCTCACAGTGGTCAGACCCCAGGGGGCTGGGCCCCGACCTCCTCCTGACTCCTGTGCAGGGGCTGTGCCCACGGGGAGGAGGAGGTCACTCTGAGCCCTGAGCCAGGGCCCAGCCTCAGCTCAGAGCTCCTGGTCGCCATCCAAGCTCAGGGTCCCCAGCCTGGCCCTGTCCTACTTCACCCAGCCCACCGGGCCCCCAGGTGGGGCTCACGCTGCACGTCCGGGTGCAGGATCATGAGCAGGAGGGCCCAGGCCAGCGTGGTCGAGGTGGTCACCATCGCAGCAGAGAACAGGTCAGACAGCACCAGGCACAGGTTCTCATCATTGAAGCTGCTCTCCGGGTTCCCGTTGGCCTGGGCGATGACGAGTGTAGGTTCAGGAGCAGAGGAAGGAAGTGGCCTCCCACTCTGTACCCATCAGCCCAGGTACCTGATCACTTGGTGATAATTAGGACCCCCCTTGCCTGGGCTCATCTCATGTGCCCTCAACCCACGACCGCTGTCCCTGGTGGCTCACCTTCACCTCGTCCAGGAAGGCGTCTGTCATGTCTTGAGGGTGCTGGGCCGGGTCTTGGGTCATCCTGTGCTCAGCAACCAGTTCATCCAGCAGGGCCATGAAGGCCTTCTGCTGTGGAAAAACCTTGGCAACGAGCCCCGGGATGCGAAGGAGCACGGGGATTGCATTCAGCACCTGTGGGAGCCACAGATGTGGGGTCCTGAGTCCTCCCTGTGCTCAGGTGCTCACCTCCACCAGTCAGGTCCCTGTCACTCCCAGGATGTGCCCCCCATTGACCTGGTTCCTCCCTAACTTCGGACCTCTACCCTCTCTCCTTGCCTAGACCCCAGAAGGATAAACCTAAAATCTACACCTCATGGGTTCTGGTGGTTTCCAATGAAGGAGGTACAGGTTCCTTAGTCCTCTCCTGGTGCCTGCTGATCCAACACCCCTCTATCCAAATCCTCCTCCACGGAGGCCCATTGCAGGCGGAGGTTTCCTCCATGGACCTCGCCTGCAGGGCTCCTTGGACCCCTACACCCAGCACCTGGGGTAAGAATCTGCCCTCCTCCTTCAGTAAGCCGTCCAATATCCTGAGGAAACGTGGGTCGTTGTACTCGTAGCGGCGCCCATAGGTGAGGGAGGAGATCACGTTGGTCACCGCGTTATTCAGGAGGGCGTTGGGGCTAAAGGGGCGTCCTGGGAGGTGACGGTGCAGGTCAGGGGGTCGCCTCCATCTCCTCTTCCCAGCCTCCATCCCTGTCTCCTGTGTCTCAGCCCAGCACTCACCGGCCTGGTCTGCGAAGGCGGAACAGAGGCACGAGGCCTCCTCGGTCACCCACTGCTCCAGGGACTTCTTGCCCAGGCCGAAGTCGCGCAGGGTGGACACGCAGAAGCGCCGCTGCTCCCGCCACGCGGGTCCATAGCGGGCAAAGATCACCCCTGGGGGCGGGGCGGACATGGGCGTGGCTCAGCTGCGCCCTGGCCCCGCCCCTGTACGCACACCTTGCTCACGGGGGTCGGCCATCCCCCTGCTACAGGAGAGACCTCGGCCCCACCCCCTGCTCTACTCTCCCGCCCCGTTTGGTGAACGTCTCACAAATACTGTCTGGCCCCTGTTCCGCCCACTCCAACCTCGTTCTCCTTACCACCAAATCCCACCCACTTTATATCCCCTTCTGGCTAGAGACAGGTCCCACCCTCTGCCCGCCACACTGCTCGCCAGCTCTCCCCACTGGCGGCAGGTCATAGCCCTGCTCGTTGCCCTGCCCGCCGCGACTGCCTTCCCTTTCAGGGAACGTCTTCGCCCGCCCCCTGCACCGCCCACACTGACTCCGTCGCCTCATTCCCGCCACCCGGACATCCCCCTCCTGCTCCCATTTGCCGGCGCCCGCCCACTCCCAGTAAGGACCCTCCACATACCCCTTCCCACGCTTGGCACAGACTGCTTCCTCCGCCTGACGCCCCTGCAAATTCGTTGACTCTTCCCTGCACGGCAGGTCCATGACCCTGCATCCACTTCACCCTCCTGGGTCTCGGTCCACTGCGGGCCCAGTCCACCCCGGGCTGTGGTCTTCCCCTCCTCCGCTTGCCTTCTGCCCGCGGTCCGAAGCCCAGGTGCTAGAAGATGGGCACAGGGGGGCGGTGGGAGGTGTCCTCGCTGCGGTCCACCAGCGCCTCGCTTATGGCCGCCATTCTGTTGAGCACGACCACGGGCGTCCAGCCCAGCTGCAGGCTGAACACGTCCCCGAAGCGACGCCGCAGCTGTAGGCCGAGAGTCAAGAGCGTTGGAGAGTCCCGCCCCACCCCAAGTTGTGGGACCCAGTCTCATGGCTCGAGTCTTGGGGAATCCCTGGGCCGCAGCAGCAAGGAAGTGCAAGGAATCTATCTGGCCTCGTGACACTAGGGGTCACAACCGGTATGGTCGAGGATGACACGACGTATCAGACCACCCAGCTACGACTTTACAGAGGTCACCAACATTGTCAGCAGGCCAAGTTAGCATCCCATTTTACAGGTGAAGAAACTGAGGTTCACAGAAGTGAGCAGTGAGGCTCAAGGTCTCACAGCAGCAAAAGATTCGAACCTGGTCACTGTCCTTTCTCAACCTCAATTTCCTTATTTAAATGGGGCTCATGACCAGACTCCCCTCCCCAATCTCAAGATCTTTCCTCCTGATACCATCAGAAGGCACTCAGGCTCACATAACTTAAGCTCTGTCCAACTGCATCCCAAACCCCTTGCCAAGTCCCACCCCCTCCAGGCTTTTGCCCTCTCTGACCTTTGATTGGAAAATTCAAACTGCCCTCCAGGCCCTGCACAGATGCCCTCCCCCAGGAGGCCTCTCAAACCTGCCTCCTCCTTTCCATCCAGCTCCCTGTGCAGCCTGTGGCTTCACCCACCACCCACTGTCTGCTGCTCAGTGGTGTCCCCAGGACCTCTTCTGGGGACACCTGCCCACCAGCCCCCACCTTCCTCACCCGAGTAAAGCTGCAAACCGAGTCCTGGAGGTCCACCTGCAGCAGGGTGCCCAGCCCAGGCAGGGGCATGGGGCCTGGTGGGTAGCGTGGGGCCCAGCGTTGTCGCCGGTGCATCAGGTCCCCCAGGAGCAGGAAGATGGCCATGGCCACGGCCAGGGGCCCCAGTGTCTCCCCGGTCAGCAGCCCCATGGCTGCCTCAGTGGGCACTGGGCTCTTCTGGACACATAGGCACCCCTCACCACACCAGGCACCTAGGACCAGGCCAGGCAGGGCACTCTCACCAACCCTGAGGGCTCGACCAGCCTGGAACCTCTTTATAAAGGGAGCTGAGACTGGCCTTTGCCCTCTGTCCTGAGTCAGCAGGTTGGCATGACTGAGCTGCCAGAGGGTGCAGGGAGTGGCCAGGGAAGGTCAGCGCAGGGCTGGCACAGTGGTCCTGTCCCTGCTGTCCTATCCAGATGCCTATCCCGGTTGGGGGTAGAGAAAGGGAATTCCACGCCTTGAGCCAGATTGGCCACCATTGGACAGGCTCTGAGGAACAACCAGGGGTCTTGGAACTTGATCCTGCCACCCATCTGTCACCTTAGGCTCACACTCCCTAATGTCCTCACAGCCTCATCCCGAGAACACATTCTTACTTTCCCTGAGTGACCCACCTCCTCCTGAATGACCTTCACCTCCCAGGTTTGTACTGGTACTTGCTATTGGGAGGTGACAATGATTAGAGGGACCCCAGGTTGTGGTGGGGTGGGAG